TCGGCCCCTCCATGGCCACATTCGTTGGCCGCACCCCACCTTTCGGCCACGCGCAGAGGGGGGTGGGGGGAGGGGGGAGGGCTTCTTAGAAGCACCCCTGCTCCTTAGAAGGCGCGGTCCTGGCACCTTCTAAGAAGCGGCCCCCTTCTAAGACGCCCGCCCGCCTCCCTCCACCCCCCTCGTGTGCGCGCCGCCGACACTCGACAAGCTTCGAGATGGGCGTCCAGGGCCCTTGCATCCTGGCCGCGCACTCGTATGACGCGGGCCCGTGCCGGGCGACGAGGCCTACGGGCAGATCCACCGCCACTGGCCAATGCCTGGGCCCCAGGGTCGGGGTGCTGCATGCTGCATGCTTCCCTGGCCAAGCCAGGAGGTCGTGCGCACCGCTCCTGGGCCCAGGCTGGGCCTGGCCAGGGTAGGTGGATGTGTATATGGATCTCGTCCGGGGGCGAGCGAGACGGGGGGGGGGAAATAGGAAGGAGGAGGCCTTCTCAGAAGGCGGCGGGACCTCTCAGAAGCCCTCGCGCCTTCTGAGAAGTGGACTTCGAACCTTCTGAGAACGCCTTCTCCTTCTCACTTCCCCCTCCTCGCTCGCCGCTGACTCGTCGCCCTACATCACGGGCCACGCCTCTGAGGGGCTGGTTGGGTCGAGCTCTCTTCTTCGACGGTTCTGTCGGCGGAGGCTGGCGGAGGCAGGGGAGTTCCCGCCGGCGGAAGCGGGCGGAAGCAACATGAGCCCCCCCCCCCAAGCAGAGATGTCAGCATGTTTGGGCTCAGGGCCTCCGGACTCTCAAGCGAATCAGAGGTGGCCGACATGTTCTTACATCGCTCGGCCCTGGTGAAGTTGGCTACGCCAACCCTCCGCGCGTGTACTCACTTCCATCTGTCGCTCCTCCCCCTTAATTCCAGAGGCTTGCGCCATCTCGTAAGCCCCTAGCAGGAGGAACGACGGGGTGGGATGAGGAGGGACAACAGGAGGAGGCGGCATGGACCAGACGTCCGATACGACACGATTCGCTCCTAACCTGTCAGGCATACCGTGTGAAACGCTCTTTCGCGTCGTTTCGGGGTCGGGTTGCCCAGTTTCGTTTTTGTTGTTGTCTCGCTTCCCTTCTTACTTATCTTCCAAGCTCCCCTTTCCTCCACCTCACTATTCGTATACACCTTCTCATCCTTGTCCTTCTTGGATCCCTCATGGGGCCCCTTTGGGCCGGTGTCGGACTGTTTTGAGATATTGTCGGGCCGTCTTGGAGCCGCTTGGGGTCATCTAATGGCCGTCACAGGGCCCCTCTGGAGCCGTCTCGGTCCGTCTTGGGGCCTGTTGGGTTATGCAGCTCGGTTGCCTCCCAGGGCCGTCTTGGAAGCCAGATTTGCCAAGAGTGTGTAACTTGGGGTGGTTCCAAACCGAGCTTTTGCGTTGACGAGCTCAAGCGCCCCCCCCGCTCAGGCGGGTTTTTGGATCCCTGGCAGGGGTAACAGATCGCCGCACAGGGCGTAGCTTCCGTCGTGTGTCCCCCCGTCGGCCACACGCCAAGAGCGCCTCGGGCTCCTGTCCTCACAAGTTCTGCTCCCGACCCAAGGATGGGCGGAGCCAGTGCGTGGCGCTCCTAGCCATGGCGGCAAGACCCGCGCGTCCGATGTCGATGTGTGTGTGTGTCTCTCTCTCTCTCTCTCTCTTTCTTCTCCACCCAACAGGTAGGGGTCGCTAGATTTCAAGTACAGACCTCCCGACCCGCCCTCCCTGCATACCGCGGCCGCCAGATCCCCAGGTCCTCCGGGAATCCTCGAGACTCCCGCCCCTCTCGACCCGACCCGCCCACTGCACACCGCGGCCGCTAGATAGATCCCCAGGTCCACCGAGAGTCCCCGAGACTCCCGCCCCTCCCGCCCCGCCCCCTCTGCATATGTCGGCCGCCAGATCCCCAGGTCCATCGAGAGTCCCCGATACTCCCGCCCCTGTGAGCATGACAGAACAGCCAACAACACAGAGCATACAATGACAGCAGAGCATAGCAACTGAACGCAACATGACAAACACGAGCATGACACACTACAGCGTCAAGCAACCGTAGATACCATAGAATAGCACATAATGCTATGCCAGAAATGACCATGCTGAGCAGTTCAACGCATCTCACGGCGTAGCAAAATACCAGGTCACTATGGCATGCCATAACACACCACAACAACATTCCATACCATATCACAGCAGAGCACAGCGCCACAGGCCAGAGTGTGTCACACCATGACAACCATACCGTGACATAACGCGACATACCATGCAATCCGATAGCAGGGCATAGCAAACCATGGCCCGCCTTAGCGTAACAAGTCATGGCATACCCTAACACAGCAGAACACAGCATCGACCATACCATAACATGACAAAGCGTTGCATGGCATAGCGGAGTCTAGACGAGTATATCGTAACAGTTCGGAGCATCGCAAGTCAGACTTGTCGTGCTATTGCTACCACTAGGGTAACGTTTGTTTTTGGCATGTGATAGGCCATTTACAAGCAAACTTGTCTGCAATGACATGACGTAGCATAACTTATTGTAGTGAAGAGGGTACACCGTACCCCTCATATCATGAACGAGTTTTCGTATGATGTTTACGATTGCGACTACTACTACAGCAATAACAACGACGACGACTACTATAGTTACTATCATGCATACTACTACTACTGCTGCTGCTACTACTACTACTACTACTACTACTACCAGTACTACTACTATAGCTACTACAACAGCTACTACGACTACTAATACTACTACTCCTGCTACTACTACTACTACTCTTAGTACTACTACTACTACTACTACTACTGCTACTACTGCTACTACTAATAATAATACTGGTCCTGCTGCTACTACTACTACTGCTACTCTTACTACTACACATGTTACTACTATCACTACTACGACTACCACCTACTACTACTACGACGACGACTACTACTACTGCCACGGCTACTACCTTTATTGCTTGTACTACGATTACTACTCCTACGGCTACTACGACGACTACTACTACTACTACTACTATTACTACTACTACTACTACTACGACGATGACTACGACTACGACTACTACTACTACTACTACTACTACTACTACGACTACTACTACTTTTACTACTACGATCCGGATCTTTATTTTCAGTACTCGTACCACTAAGACTATTACCACTACTACTACGACTACTATCACGATCATTACTACGACTACTACTGCAAATTGTAGGGCTTCTTTTGTTAGTATCACTACTACTACTTCTATTACTACCACTACGGCAATGCATTTGCTATAACACCATAGCCTTTCCCATACTTGAAGAGGTACGCCATTGCCTGAACACAATTTCACACAACATAGCGAACATACTGTAGCGAAGACACCACCCCATATACTTATAGTGCAGCTCGGGCACAGCATAACATGACAATTCAGCTTATTACAGAGCTGATTATGACATGATATACTTTACAACATAGAGTGGCACATCACTTCCGGATAACATCACAACATCATCGACCGTACAATAACAGACGTGCGAGCCGAGGACAGGTTGGCCGTAGGAACACACAGGCGCAGCAACGACCGATTGGACGACGTATCTAAAGTGACGGGCGTCACAACGGCACGTCGAGATTACAACATGTTTTAATCAAGTTAAGAAGTTTCGAGCATAATTGATACAACATGTGTTGGATATTGTCAAATACAGCAGCGATCGGTTAATGGCGCTATTTCGAACGCAGCATCCACGCCGACACAAGGCTTGTCACAGGACACAAACAGACGCAGCAACGACCGATTCGACGTCACGATGCCCCGTCGTGAGCAGAACAGAAAAACAGACGCGCATACAACGGAACAGAAACGAACATGATGTCACATAGTAAAATTCAGCATCGACCAAGTAATGCCGTCCCATCATACGCGACACGCTCGCCGAACCCACGCTGGCCGCAGGAATAAACAGTAGCAGCACCGACCAATTCGACGACAGATCAAAGGCGGCAGGCACCACGACGTCACGCCGGCCCATCCAGAGCGTAACATCACAGAACACAGCGTCATTCGTTTCACTGGGAAAGAATCCATCGCGAACATGATATAGCGCAATGCGCCGAATCCACGCTGGCAATAGAAAAAAAACAGTAGCAGCAACGACCGATCGGACGACCAAACGTGGAAGGCGTTACGGCCTCACGCCTGCCCCACCAGAACATATCATAACATACCAGAGCATAGTTTCAAACACTACACAGGAGGGGGAGGTTAATGAGGATGGAACAGTATAAGGAGGAGGATGAGAATGGAGGGGAGATCCGCCTCCCCTCCCTCCTTCTTTTTCGTCCGCGTTCTCCTCTTCCTCCTCCTCTTCCAAAGGTGTTCTACAACACAAAACGTGTTTTTGGGTTTGTTTTTGGCCCCAGGGGCTGACTTCGGTCTCTTTCGTCAGGGGCTTCCCTCCTCCGACAACTTGTGGCTGTCTGACCCAGCCGCCGCGCTGGCCGAGACCACCGGGCCCTGCGCGCATCGTTCCAGAAGGCGCGTGCGGTGTCGGGAACGGTAGCCGAAGGTTTCGGTGGGGATCGCTTGAAGCAACTTAATTGATTGTGATTCACGTCTCCTCTTTCTAGTATGTATTTCTTTCTTACTCTCTCTCTCTCTCTCGCTTTCTGCCCCTCTTTCTGCTCTCAGTCTCTCTCTCCCTCTTGCTCTCTCGCTCTTTCTCTGTCCTTCTGCATCCCTCTGCCTCTCTTTATCTCTCTCTCTCTCTCTCTCTCGCTTCGTGTCTGTTTCTCCTCGCCGGTTTCCTGTTCTTGGCTCGTCTATTCGTAACAGCCGTTCCTCGTTAGTATTCGCACGTGTCTTTTGGTGTGTTTCCCTGCCTCTCTTCACTCCTGCCCCCTTCCCTTTTCCCTGCCGTCGTTCGTCTTCACGCTTCCCATGTTGCCCCCCTCTTTGGTGGGGACGCTGGCAAGGTGATCAACGTAGAGGTAGACAAGCTGGATCCGCGGGTGCAGCAGGTCTTCTTCGTCATCAACATATACACGAGGGGGAAGTCTTTCAAGCAGGACTGCCGCCCCGTCTTTCTCTAGGAGGGCGGCAGTCCCTGTCCTCAGCTTATACACTCGAATGCTCCTGCGCACCTGTCGTTGGGTAGTCTTCGTTGACAGCTTTTTTGACAAGCGAGTTCGAAGAACCTGAAGCGAACCCACACGAATGCGTGCAGCACCCAGGCCGATGTCAGCCAATTTCAGGCGCAATAGCTCAGGCATCTTGGCGAGACTATTTTCCTGAGTCGCGCCTACTCATCCACACGATCGTCGGCAACCGCTGGACGCGGTTTGACAACAGGCCGAAGATTGCGAGATGGAGGTTTCAACAACAAAAAGAGGTGTGAAAGCAGCTCTGGACAAAGGGCAATACGGCATCCGATGGCTGGGAGCAAGACTACACTTATCTCGCACGCCTATGTACACAACGAGTGAGCTGAAGATCGCCCGTGGGAAACGTCAGGGTTCGGGTCGATATCCTCAAGAACGCAATACCGATGGGCGTGCGACCGTGCAGAGGCCCCTGAGGCCAGGGGACGGTCTAGAACATTGTGGGCGTGCGTTCGCTCCACACGCCAGTTGGGTCGGCGGATCATACCCGTCCGCCTCCGCGAACATCGGTTTGGAGGGAAAGGGATGGGAAAGAAGGGAACGATGACGAGGAGGAGGAGGAGGTCGCAAGAATGATGCAGGGCAGTTCTTTTTCAGAGCGGGCCCTGTCTAGAACAGCAGGCCAAGCTGCGCTGATCTCTCAACGGGAGCGGCTCTTGCAGTGCAAAGGGGGCGCCTGCATGAGGAGCGGGCTCGTGACGGGAGGGTACACTGCAGCATCGTTGATGCATCATTGGTTTACACTGGTCCTTCTCCTCTTCCTCCCCTCCTCGCCTGTCCTCTCACACGTCTGTGGCTTGGCCCAGTACCCGATAATGAACGAGTATCCCCGCCAGCGCTGCCACCATGTCGTAGTGCTGAGCTTCCATATTTACCACAAGCTGAAAGCTGACCTTGTGGGCAGGCCAAGAGCGGCCATGCCCACCTACCATTACGAAATACGAGCCGCAGCCCTCGTCGCGATGCGATGCCAGGGCCCTGGCGGTAGCTGAGCCACCGTGGATTCAAGCTACGTGCGCTCTTCCTCCCCTCCTCCTCCTCCTCCCCCTCCTCCTCCTCCTCCTCCTCCTCCTCCTCCCCTCCTCGTCCTTGTACCTCCCGCCACGGCTCGACTGTCCGGCGACAGTGGCGGTCACCACGTGTTCCTTCTCAAAGCTTCCTTCCCCTGCTCCTCCTCAGGAGGCGGAGGGCGAGGAGGAGGAGGAGGAGGAGGAGGAGGAGGAAGTCGGCGAGGAGGACGAAGACAAGGACACGAGGAGGCCTCCGACGTCGTGCCTTTTGTTTCGCGACGTGGGCCCCTGGAGGTCGTCCCGATCCCTTCCCGCGGATCAGCTTGACATCTCGAACTGGCTTCTGACGGCTCTGGGGCCCTGCAGTGAGCCACAAGAAGCCGAAGGCAGCCAAGCACTTCCCGCCGTGGAGAAGGAGGAGGAGGAGGGGGGAGGAGGAGGAGGGGGAGGAGGAGGAGGAGGAGGAGGAGGAGGAGGAGGAGGAGGAGGAGGAGGAGGAGGAGGAAGGCGAGGAGAAGGAGGAGGAGGAGAAGGAGGAGGGGGACGACGAGGAGGAGGAGGAGGAGCAGGAGGAGGAGGAGAAGGAATATACCTTATCATCGGCCCGGCTGCGCGTAGAAGTGGCCCTTTGCCTGGGGGACCGCTTGGTGCGGGCCCACACGGTTTCCCCCGGGCACTGGCTTGAAGAGGCCTGCCCTCTATCCGCACCCCCCCCACGCGGCCCACGAGAGCCGCGCACCAAGGGTCCTTCCCACGGACATTCGGCGATCCGACGTTTTCGATGCGCAGGCCCCCGGCTCTCTCGACCCCTTTCCATGGGCAGGTCTTTCGCTCCGAGTCAGCTCTTGACCGACTGCCCCGACGCCCGAGACCAGCTCCCAGAACCCAGAGGCCAAGACCGGCAGCAATCGGGCCGCCTTGATTTGTCTTCGAGGCGCCAGATCTCTGGGTCTTGCCCAGGGTTACTCCTGCTTCCCCCCTCGCGCTCCCTCGTCTTCCCGCTCCCGTCAGAACTGCCCAGGGCCCCTCCCCTTCTTTCCCCCTCCCGCTGCCGCTCCTGCCCGTCCCAGGAGCAATCCGTGCGATACGATCGGATCATGCCCCCAGGTGCTGGAGGCACGGGCCGTGCCTCCAGCACCTGCACAGGCTCAGGGCACAGGCACGGGACTGGCACAGGCTCAGGGCCGATCGAGAGTAGCACAGCGCAGCCCAGGGTCCCCTCTGCGTGCGGCCGATCGGCGGCCCTGCTCGGAGGCCCCCCCTACAGGTGGCGAACCCGTACTGCCGCGTGCTCGTGGGGCTGGCGGGCCTAGCTCGTGGCGCCCTGGCCGATCGGGAGTAGTGCAGCATGGCCCAGGGTCGAGCCTGTTTCTGTATTGCTTGGGCCATAATGGACGTCATGGCCCCCGGCCACCCCCCCCATAACGAAACGCCCCCGCCCCCACCCCCCAGTGCGCCCCGGACAAGGCTGCTGTGCGCGCGGACGCGTGGTGGTGCCGGGACAGCACTTCGTCGTCGTCGTCATCGTCGTCGTCGTCGTCGTCGTCCTCGTCCTCGTCGTCGTCGTCGTCGTCGTCGTCGTCGTCGTCGTTCGTCGCTCGTCGCTCGTCGCTCGTCACTCGTCGCTCGTCGCTCGTCGCTCATCGTCGTCGTGCGTGCGGACGCCGCTGTGGTGCCAGAACCACACTGCGGGGGGAGTCGTTACGTTGTTACATATGCCCCCCCCGCCCCCATAACGCCCGCTATCGCCGCGAACAAGGAAACACGCTCGTCACCCCTGCCTGCAGCCGATCGGCGGCCCTCCTCGGAGCCCCCCCTCCTGGCAGGTGACGAGCCTGCGCTGCCGCGTGCCTTTCTGGGGCCGCGATCTCCCTCGGGATCCCCCCCAAGTATACTTTCCCTCCAGGGAATATGATGATTTGTTCTTCTTGGGACCCTCTTGGCGGTCCTCTGCGAGCGCTCTTGGGTCGTCATGGAGGCCTCGCTGGCCGTCTTGAAGCCATTTTCGAGGCTCCAGAGGCCCCCAGGTCGCGTTGACGAGGTCACACGCCCACCCCCTTTCGCCCTCTCTTCGACTGGATCTTGGGCCCCAGACGAGGGGGAAATGGGGGAGGAGGACAGCCAACTGTTGAACACACCTTTTCACACCCGGCATGCGGCGGTCGGCGGATTTGTTGTGTGTGCTTTTCGCGCCTTTTTGGGGAGACTGATCTTTTGGGGGACGGCGCTTGTTTTTGTGTGTCCAGCACTCGCAAAGGGCAGCTTCACTCCGAGCCTGACCCCCTCTCCATTGCTCAACGTCCTCATCGGTTCTCCCGCTAGCCCCCCATCTCTTCGGCTGCGCCCGTTCCCTGGCCTGGCCCCCCTCGTTCCCGGGGCGCCCCCCCGGGATAGCTCAAGATAGCATCCGAAGCGGCCAAGACGCCTCCAAAACGTCCTCTGGGAAAGCCCGAAGAAGCCAACATGATAAATGTCCCATGGGTGCTTGAATGTTATATGTCTAATCCTGCCCTGCTCATGGCCAACTTGGGATACGATAGTACTTCTAGAACCTAAGCGCACGCGAAGCGCGCGTGGTCCTAGTATGTACGTTTTGCTTCGTGTTTTCTATCTAACTATGTTTATACCTATGAGTATGTATACATGTATGCCTATGTCTATGTTTATGTATATGTATGTGTGATAGTCGCGTTGGACCGCAGGACCCCAAACGCTGAAACTGCCCCAACCCGCTTATCTAATTACACCCTACTGCTGGAGCCCCAGGCTCTGACCTGCTGGCCGCTCGTTTACTTTGGGCAGGTCCTTCCTCTCCTCTCCTGCGCTTTCCTCCTCTTCCTCCTTTTTCTGAGCTTAGGTGGTAGCGCACGGAGCTTAGTCGCAAGCGTGCTGGCGATAAAAGACATTCGATCATCATGGGGCATCGCGGGGCGCGCCTGTGTCCATGCTTTCGGAAGCTCGACGGGAGTCATGCTATTCTCTGTCTCACGCTCCGGCGCAACCTCGCTGGTATGCAGAGACCTGGGGTGAGGTAACCGCTGTGGTTTGGCTTCGTCGACGGAATAGAACTGATCTACACCCTGTTCCTGCCTCTGGGCCTCATGACTCATGCCGTTCCTCCTTCTCCTCCTCCTCGTCCTCCTCATTCGGCTTCCCGCCTCCTCCTTCATCCTTATTGTAGTGGCCTCCGGTCAGTGCCGCCGATCCGGGGCGCTCCGCAAGATGCAGGGGGGGGGGTCCGCTCTGCAGTGTGGGGGGGGGGCTGCAGGGGCGGGGTCCGCTCTGCAGGGGACGCGAGCGACGACGACGACGAGGACGACCATGACGCGAGCGACGACGACGACGACGACGACGACGACGACGACGACGACGACGACGACGACGACGACGACGACGACGACGACGACGACGCGACGACAACGACGACGACGACGGGGGGGAAGCTGGGTTGCAGGGGAGGGTCTGCTCTGCAGGGGGAGTTCCGCTCGGCAATGGGAGGGACTCCAGGGAAAAGGGCAGGGGAGGGGGTCTGCTCTGCAGGGGGAGTCCGCTCGGCAGAGGGAGGGACTGCAGGGGAGAGGGGTGGTCCGCTCTGAAGGAGGGGGGGCTGCAGGAGAGGAAGTCTGCTCTGCAGGGGGGGGGGGGGGGGGGGGGGGGGGGGGCAGGGGAGGGGGAGCGTCCGCTCTGCAGGGGGGGGCTGCACGGGGCGGGGTCCGCTCTGCAGCGGGGGGGCTGGGCTGCAGGGAGGGGGGGCGGTCCGCTCTGCAGGGGGCGGGGGGTCCGCTCTGGGAGGAGGGGGGCTGCAGGAGGGCGGGTCTGCTCTGCAGAGGGGGGGGGAGCAGGGGAGGAGGGGGGGATCCCCTCTGCAGGGGGGGGGGGGCTGCAGGGAGGAGGTCCGCTCTGCAAGGAGGGGGGGGGGGGGGGCGAAGCACTGAATTAGGTCGGAATTAGGTCGGAAATAGGTCGGAAATGAGGTCCCCCCCCCGCAGAGCGAGGCTTGAGCGAGCTCAAGCCCACGCTCTCAGAAACTCACACGCCGGATCGGCGGATTTCCTGTTCCTTCCCGCTTACTCTTCCTGCTTTCCTCCTCGTTCTGCTTCTTCCTGCTTCCTTCCTCCTTCTTCCACCTTCTCTCTTAAGGCGGGAGGCGCACTGGCTGATGAGGCAGTGGAGAGATGGCTGCGGCGAAAAGTTCCTACAGAGCACTAGTCGTGGGCTGCCCGATGTCCTCAGCCTCCCCCTCTGCAGCCTCTCTTGGAGCCTGGGCCACGACCGCAAGTTGGTTGCTCGCGTGCACGGACCTCTGCCCGCATGGCTCCAGACTGCTCCTGCAGCTGAGCTTCTTGCGTTCCTGATGCATTTGAGGCGTTTGAGTGCGCAGGTTCGGTCCCACACCGACTGTAAGCCGCTTGCGGGCACTTGGTCTCAAGGAGTTGGGGCTGGCACGGCGGCAGCGGACCCCATGCCGCATCTCCGGAGGGAGGTGTGGAGGCTGGCGTTGGATGTGGGAGTGGAGTCGGTCGAGGTGCACTGTGTGAAAGTCCGAGTCCGCTGTTCTGTAGTGGCATGGCCTCGTTTTGGAAATCGACTGGCTGACGAGCCAGCGAAGTAGGGGGGCCAGGGTGCACGCCACCAGCGATGGCCTCTTGGAGGCCACTTCGCACCCTAGAAATGCCACCGCGATGGTGGCCCAGTTCTGTGTCCGCGTTGCCTCCCGTGTAGCCTTCGAGACGCCTGCGGACGCCCAGCCGCAGTTCTTTCGGTAGGGCCACAGGCACCATCGAAGGTGCCCCCCGAGGGCCCATTCCATGTGTGACCTTGCCATCTCTCGGTCCACTGGCGGTTCTTCTGTCTGATATGCCTTCGGTCTGCTAAGTCGCGAGCGGTCATGCGTCAGCTCGAGTGGCTCGAGTACACGGGTGAGGCTGTCCAGCATGCACTCCACCGTGTTGGGCCCTTCTGTTTCCGTTCGGTGTGTGGTGCCCAGTTGTCCGAGCAATGCTTCTTGGCCAACAAACGGCTAGGCGGTACGATCGCTGGCCTTCCCGAAGCCAGCGATTCTGGTGACTCCGTTTCAGTCCCCGTTGTTGGCACCTTTGCTATTCAAGCTGGCCGTCCCGCCTGCGGCAGGTCCCTTAAAGGTCAAACTTCCTCCTCTCTCCTCCTCCTCCTCCTCCTCCTCCTCCTCCTCCTCCTCCTCCTCCTCTTCCTCCTCCTAATCCCGAAGCCCTCAAATTCACTGCAGTGCATTTGCAGTTGTGCGGGTTAGCTCACCAAGAGAGTAAAAGTCGCCCTCTCCCCTCTAACGGTATTGACGCTCGCTCGCTCGCTCGCGCGGCCCTTCAAGCTGTCGAGCTGCCCCTCGGCGGTAAGCGCCGCACGAGGCCCTGCCCTCTGCGGCGATAGGTCGGGATGACACGCGGTCCCCCCAGACGCTCCAATCTCTCCTCCTCCTCCTCCTCCTCCTTCTGGGAGCTTCCCTGCCGGTTCGATCGCGAGGGCTGCAACGACGAGACCGCTCACTACCTGACCCGTCGCAGGGCCTGGCGGGCGGGCTGCCAGGCGACGTGGTCGTTCGCGCACTGGTCTGTGCTGCACAGATTGGGCCTCGGCGAAGAATTATGGGCCTGTTTCCCACCGCCACCACCATAAGTTGGAGAGGGGAAGGAGGAGGAGGAGGAGGAGGACGAAGAGGAGAAGGAGGAGGAGGAGAAGGAGGAGGAGGAGGACCCCCTCCCCCTCCAAGTTGTGGTGGTGGTGGTGGTGGTGGTGGTGGTGGTGGTGGTGGAAAACAGGCCCATCAAAGAACCAGCATTCCAAGACTCTGAGGATGTGGAGAACAACCTGCCGCAGACTGTGGCACGGTTGGCTCGCCTCTACCACATTAACAGCATTCTTCGCCACCGTCGGGATGCACGTCCAAAAGCAGGTCGCTGCAGTCGCAGCTGCGAGGGTCGCGGCACTTTGGGTCAAGGTTCCACCGTCGACAATTCCAAGCAGTACTATTGAGAGGCCCCGCCGGCCGCGAGGCTAGTGAGCCATCTGACCCGCCACCTGCGGGCTCTCCTCCTCCTCCTCCTTCTCCTCCTCGAGGCGGTCGTCGAGACCCCAGCTGGAGCACGTGAGGGTGCCAGGCCGCCCCCCCCCGACGGCAGCGTCCGCCGGGCGCCTTGAGACGGCTAGTGCTGGGG